ATACAGCCCTAGAAGTGGGTCAGAGGGTATGCACGTTTTTATAGCCCTTTGGGCATAGTTCCAAATTGCTCTCCAAAATGGTTGGATCATTTCACAACTCCACCAACAATGCATTAATGTTCCAATTTTACCACATCTTCTCCAGCATTTATAATTTTCCTGTTTTGTCATGTTAGCCAATCTGATAGGTGTGATGTAGTACGTTAGAGTTGTTTTGGTTTGCATTTCTCTAATCAATAGTGATTTAGAGCATTTTTTTCATATGACTATAGATAGCTTTAATTTCTTCCTCTGAAAACTGCCTATTCATATCCTTTGACCACTTATAATTGGGGAATGACTTATATTCTTATAAATTTGATTGAATTCTGTCTATATTTTTGATTTAGTTTTCTATACATTTTTGTGAACTTAAAATATTTTGATAACTGTATTTTAATATAATTTGTTTTCTTTTTGAGCTTGCATATTTTATTTTGTTTATTTAAAGACGTTATTTTGAGAAGAGGCCCATAGGCTTCACCAGCCAGAAGGGTCCATGACACAAAAAAGTTAGGAACCCCTGAGCTGGATGATATTTAAGGTTCCTTCTTGACCTAAATTCTTTTTTTTTCTTTTTTGCAATCAGGTTGTGTATAGGCTTAGCAATGGACTATATATCTTTCATTGGAACTCATCTAGAGTAGTTCTTAGAAAGACTCAGAACCTTGGCTGTTAGATGGTGACTTTTAGCCATAGTAGCACATGAAAATCAAACTACTAAGGCATAGAAGGGTTGCAGTTTAAGTAATGTGAAAGGGAGTGCCAATACCTATAAAACTTCAAATTTTTAAAGTGTCATAGTCATTCTTGTTACTGAGCTTTTTAAAAAATGTTCTTAAATAATTAGTCACTAAAATATTGAATAAATGAGTGAATGAAAGAGCATTTATGCTTACTTTGTGCCAGATGCTGCTCTAATGGCTGGGTAACAAATACAAAATAAGAGACAGGAACTTTCTATATGCTTCTATACTAATAGTGGGAGACAATGTAGATAAGGACGTGATGCCCAGTAAGGATCATTTTGGCCCAGGAGTCACAGGGATTATGGATAGAGCCATAAGGCAATCACTTGACGTGGTTTTTTCCAGAAGCAATGGTAGTATTGATTTCATTACAGTTCTGGAGCATGAGGTAGAGTACAGTTCCCAGAGCACTGGGAGGAGTACCTTTGTGATGTCATGGAAGGAAGATGTCTGTGAAGCATGATGATTGGTTGGCTGGGGCTGGCCTAGACATGATGAACTATCAACAATCAGGACATCATGGCCCCAAGGTAAGGGCGGGAAAGTTTGTTTGGGAGTGTTGTGGAGGGTATAGTAGGGGTAGCAGGCAGAAAGATTGATTTAAACTACATTTTTTAAAGCTACATGGATACTTTGAAACCATCTTTAGTTTACATTTAAATATGAATTTTCCACATCTATGTATAGATGCATCATGACGTTGTGGTTAGAGAGCTAGCCTGGAAGTCTAGAAGACATGGTTTCAAGTGTTTTCTCTGATCCCTAAAGCAGTGTTTCCCTGGGTATGTTACTTAATCTCTTGTTGCTCTAGGCCAGGGGTGGGAAACCTGTGGCCTCGAGGCCACATGTGGCCCTCTAGGTCCTCAGGTGCGGCCCTTTGACTGAATCCAATCCTTTCATTAAAGGGATTTGTTCTGTGAAGTTTAGATTCAGTCAAAAGGCCGCACTTGAGGACCTAGAGGGCCACATGTGGCCTCGAGGCCACAGTTTCCCCACCTCTGCTGTAGGCAATGCTCTTAGACTAGTTGAAGAGAAGGTACTTTGGTAGAGGGAGTTTCCTCACTCAGAGCTCTCTATAAGGCGTGAAATAGATCTCCCTGTCAACCTCTTCATCCTTATTCCCTTCTTCATCCCCATCCAAATCTTGTCCATGTCCTATCCATATGTTATTTTCTTCATTCATTGCTAGTTCACAAAATTTTCACATAGAGCTCTTATTGCATATATTTGAAACTTGTCCAATACCTGTGTCTTTAAATTTAGTTTAATAATTGAAAATCAATAGTTTCTTGACTTCTTAATATTTGACTGGTATTCTGATCTAGATTTTGAAGATTTTTGTTTTAAAATGTGTTTTCAGAGAGCTTAGTAATAAACATTTATTTTAATTCAAGTTATGTAATTTAGTCTGATGTTAGACTTTTAAAAAACATTTTTACTGATGGTATGACAAAGATTTTGTAATAGTGTATATATTATCATTACTGAGCATTCATGGAATCACATTTTAACTGGTATAATTAATTTGACATAATACATTCTTTTTGTCTTTGTGTGAATTCAGAGCAAAACAGATATATATCACGCACCCACATATATCTGTACTTGAGAATTTATTGTCTACCTGGTCATAGTAGTACATCTGTAATCCCTGCTTGGTCTGGGGAATGGGATGAACTCAGTTGGTGAATTGTTTTGAGCTCCGACAAGTCTGAGCTGCAGTAGGACTAAAACCAATTGAGTATATTTATTAAGTTAGGCATCAATATGGGGAGCTGTTGGGTGCAGGTTGCTACCAAACTAAGCTGCCTAACAAGGGTTGAATAGCCCAGGTCTGAAACAGAGCAAGTCAAAGCTTCTGTTCTGTTGTCAGTTGTGTGATCAGGCTTTGAGAAGCTGCTACACTTCCAGCCTGCGTGAGGTAGGGAGACCCACTGTCCAAAAAACAAAGTTCATTGTACAAAAGCTGATTCTGGTTCTGATAGGGAAAGGGCAAATTAAGGGACTGTGGAATTTAGAAGTTAACTATTATTGAGTAGGGTTTAATTTTTTTAAAAAAGTAGTATCTACAATTAATTTTGAAGTATGTCCACCAAAGTCTTTCAGTACTTCATTATGATTTGGAGATGACTCTGAGGTTCTCAAAGGCCATGCCAAGTAGAAATCAAAGTTGGGGGGGTGGAGGGGTTCCTGCTAAGTTTTCAGATTTGGACCTGGTGATATATTGTATGGCCCCAATCAGACGACCAGTGTAGCTGAGCTCCTAAAGGCTCAATACTAGGTTAACTGGCCATAGTAATTTTTTTTTTTTTTTTTTTTGCTTTGACAGTAGGGGTCAAGTGACTTGCCCAGGGTCACACAGTTAGTGAGTGTCAAGCATCTGAGGGCAGATTTGAACTCAGGTCCTCCTGACTCCAAGGCTGAAGCTCTGTCCACTGCGCCACCTAGCTGCTCCCATAGTAACTTTCAAAGATTGTCTGCCAAGTTATAGAGGAGTTTTTGATCTGCTTTGTTTGAGGGAATCTCCAAGCTGATGATACAATAAAATAACTAGGAACTGTCATATTGAATGAATGGATGAAAAGGTATTAGTGGGCCCTTAAAAATATCATGTATTAAGTGCCTAGTATGTACCAGATACTGTGGGAATACAAATACCATGAATGAGATGATCTCTGCTTGCAAGGGACTCTGATGTGGCTATGTTGAATTTGAGCTGTTCTGTCACTCAAAACTGATGACTCCTTCCCTTTTCCTTCCCAGTTAACCCAGTTAAGATACTTAGTAAAGTTTCCAAGTATTTATTTTAATAGTAATATATGCTTTGATATGTGTATGGTAATCACATTTGGGTACGTAAATCTTTGAAAATATCTCTTCGTGACAGATGAATATTTAAAGCATTTAAATTTTGTTGAACTACTGATAGGTACAGAATCAAGTATAGAACTATAGTTGTACTTTGAGGAAAGCCATCAATGAAAATACATTTTCACTTTCTATTTCAGAGGCAGTTTGATTTACCATTTTATGGTTGGAGAATCACAGGGCTTTATTGACCTGGTCATAGTATTGATAGAAATTGTTTGGCAGGAGTTGATTCCTTAAGGGAATGTACAGTTTCTAGGTCACAGTAAAGAAGTAATTCCACTACTCCAGAATAGTGATCTAGAAGTGAGAAGTGGAGAATATTTAGAGGATGAATAAGTAAAATTAAAAAACAGGCAGTGGGATACATTAATTTTCTGCATTTCCTGTTGCCTTCCCCTTCCCCACCCCTCATACTGCCCATTTTCTTCTCTGCCATCTTATTAAATCTTTAGTGGAAATGGTTCTTAATTACACAACCTTTGATAATTGATTTTTGTATCAACAAAATTTTATCAGGTAACTTTTGCCTGATTGTATAGAAAAGAAATGAAATATAAGCAGTATTAACTGTCTTTGAATCCTGATCTTTCCTAAAAGAATGAAATAACATCTAACTTAGCCTTTAATTTCTCAAGAAGTATTAGAATAATTCCCTTCAAAATACCATGCCTCTAAGAGAAAAGCTACCCATGTAATAATACAATAAACACTCACTTTATTCCCCCTTTTTTGAGGGAGTATTAATTCATTCAGGTTTTTTGAATTAATTAGTTCCACTGCGCTTTTGTATTTCTTAGGGCTTGAAAATGACTGGTTTTCTACATTGAAATCTATAAGACTTGCTTTATTAAACTTTGGTTCTAATCAAATTTATTAGCTTTTAATTTCAATTATTACATATTTAAATGAGGTTTGATTTGCTAAAACTCAGTAGTGATACTAACATTCGTCACTAATTTAGAGTCAGATGTTATTAAAATTGTATTTTGTAAACACAGGATGACAATTGTATACTATAATGTTATAGTAATTGTAGCATATTTAATAAAGATACACATAGAGTTCAAACAGCTTGATGAAAGATCTCTTTAGTATGATCTGTTCTTTATGCATACCAAGGCTTCAGAGGGGAATCAGTGGAAGAAGAAAAACCACCTGATGACTGAAAATTGTACTGTGTTACCCGGGCATGTAAACTAAATAAAATTTTGTCTTCATGTGATTTATGACTGGATTTCCCTAAATTTTTGGTGTACAATCATGTGCTGGAAATTTATTTTTATTTGTTGCTGTAACTGTAAATATTCACTTTTACCTTAAAATGTCTTCTTTCACTTTTAGGCATTATCCAATTGGTTTGCTGTTTGATCTTCTTGCATCAAATACAGCTCTTCCTTGGAACATCACAGTACATTTTAAGGTACAGTTTAAATAGCATTTTCCATTTCTGATTCTAGATAAGTGATGAGTATTAGGAATGGAATTAAAAAGTAAAATTATTAATTATTCATCTTTCTGGCATTATTTGGTGGGACTTGCTACTCTTTTCTGAAGATCTGGCAAAGATGTTTAAAGATTTATTATGCCTTAGTAGTGCCATTAAGGAAGATATTTATGTTTCAAAGTATTCCTTTTTGAGTTAATTTCAGTTAATTTTAATTTGAGTTAATTTCAAGTACAGTGTCATCAAATTCTAACCAATACTGCTTTGATTCATCCACCTCGGGGAAAGGAAAGCCAGGAGAGGGTGAATCAAAACGTATTCTCTGAAAACAGTTTTGAAAAATGTTTTCCTCCTGGAACTTAAAAAAATATGAGTCAGTTTTGGGTGCCACCATTTTTCTCCTAACATTCATTATGGCTGTAGAAAGCATTTTTTCTAGAGGAGCTACAGCTCTTACTTGCCCATTCAAGGGGCAGTCTATGCTCATTCTGTTCCTTTCTTCATTTCCCCCCTTCATTTCCCAGTAAAATCCTGTATGTAAGTGAATGGAGCTATTCTGTTGTTCTCCCAGGAAAGAACTGTCAGCTAATGTGCAGAGGAGCATGTGGTTAGGCAGCAGTCTGGTGGGTAAGTTTAGGAAGTGGTTGGAAGAGGATAGTGTTAAGACATTTCATATTCATGAATATTTTAATAATTTTCAAGAGGCTAAGTATTTTGTGGTATAAGTTTTTTATGTATTCTGGAAAGTCAGTGATATAAAAAACTCAGTTAGCTAAATGAAGCTTTCAGTCTGGTAGAGTTCAGTCATTAGGGGACAGTGCTGTAATTATCATCTTAAGGAAAATCAGACATTTTGATACCAGGTTAGACTTTGATCTAGAGAGGGCCTACACTGCATGAGTATTGAAACTGAATCCTGTTACACCCTTAAGAAAGTCATAAAGGAACTTTCAGGTCTGCATTTGGGCCACTAACACAGCAGAGGTGTTCATGCCCTGTTGGTGACTTTTGTAGCCTAGAGAAAATTTCGTTTTTATTAAGCCAAGATCTTAAGAACATAGACATTAATTTAAAAAACAACAATTTTTGGCTTTGACATTCTTACTGTATTGGATGAAAGGACTTAAAGGTAATTTGAGAAGCAAAATTATATGCTCTTTATTGTTTAGCAGAATATAGAATGTCATGACTGCCTGCTGATATCTTCTGCTGCTACTGTATAGAGAAAATAATACTACTATATAGTCTTACCCATTAGTTTTTTTCTCCACTCTGACCTGTGTTTATGTGTAGTTGATTATACTCTTTGTGCCCACATAGCCAACACAAGAATTGAACATTAGATTTGGCCTATTATATGCCTCTCTCTCCCACCAAAAACAAAACCAAACTAAAATTTTTTGTTTCAAGTGACCAAAAGCCCTTGGTTTTCACAGGATAGCTGGGGTCAGAAAGAGGAGTTGCCTATCACCCATTGCAGAAAATTGGAGGTTTTTACATTATAATGTTGTCCCAGAAGAAAACCCAATTAGGAGAGGAGGGAAAAGCCAGCTCTAGCAACTACTCTAATGACTTCATTCCAAGGGGTCAGGGTAGGTAGGCCCCAAAAATGAGCCTTGGGAAAGCAGGGTAGAGGAGGAGGCTGCAGCTGGTGGGGGCCAGGGCTCCAGTCTTCCTCATCCATTCCTTTGAAGATAACACTCAAAATTGTAGTAAACTGAAATGAAGATTTTAGGAACTCTGTTATTAATTTCCACGTATCAGTTCCTGTCTTATATCACAGTACTTGTGTATTCTTGGGTGTGATGGCCATCCATATTGATGAGTTCTTTATAAGGCTTAAGCCAATTAAAATATAGCTTGAAAAATTCTTTCAAGCCATCTTCCTTTTTGGGGAAGACATATTCATAGAGTAAGCAACCTTTTTACTGTAATGATTTTCAGAGATTCTCTGAAGATGTGCAACTTGATATTTAGGTTTAATAAAATAAAAATAAAATTATGCATTTAAATGTATAATAACTAGCTTGTATAAAAAGCAATTTTTCGGTTAAAATGCTCAACTAAATAACAATAGCCACAATTTCCCTTTCCTTCTGACTCTAGAGAAATCACTTTAGGATTTATTTCCCCAACCTTAACATTAAATTTAGAATTATGATGAAGCCTAGATCCCCTTTAAATTTATTCAGGTCAGTAGTTCTCTGACGCCTAGTAGTGCCATCTTGTTTGTGTCCTGAATCCTACTTCTACCTTCTAGATAGCCGTGGAACACTTTGTTACAGTATCCAAGCCTGAATTGTGGTGAGCACAAAGGCTCCACTGAGTAGTTAGGTATATGACTCCAAGGTCAAGATTAAAACATAAGTTTCCCACCATTTGGTCTACCCCTATCTCATATAGACCTCTGTCCTCCAAAGCTTTGTGGGGCTCAACATAGCCCAGCTTGACTGCCACTTGTCATTTTACATTGGAAATATCTTTAACCCAGGGATTTTTATAATTAGCCCCCACAGAGGATGTTCTCCAGTGATTGATCTACCTTAACAATACTTACCTGTCCATTGAATAAGAAAAGCATTATAAAGAGAAGAAGAGGATGCTTAGTGGATAAGAATTCTGAGAGAAACTGGAGGAGGTGGCATAGGTAAAGAGATTCTCTGGGGCAAGAAAGGCCCTCTCAAACACTGAGAATGGAAAGAAGGAAAAGGGATAGAATAAGACAGCTGTTGAGGTATAAAAGAGAAACATGGAATCAGTTATCTTGGGTGTTTATTTTTTATGTATTTTTGTATTCACTTAACCTGTGTCTGTGTCCTCTCTTCCAACCTTCCCTTCTTCCCCCAAGTCTGGGACTTGCAGAGATTTTGAGAATATATGATAATATATATGTTTATGTATATACATACATACACACATACACACACACACACACACACACATATATTTTCTCTTTGAGAATAAGATAGTGACAGCATGGAGCAGTGGAAAGATTGCATCTGGAGTCAGAAAATCTGGATTCCAATCTCAGCCCAGCTCTTACTCACTTGGGTGAGTAGTTGGGTAAGATACCCAGTTTCCTATGGAAAGCCATGGGCGCCAGGAGGATCTTAGTGTAATCATGAAAGCTGCTTTTGGAACTTCAAACTTCTAGTGTTCATTTTCCAGTATGAAGGTAGAATGTATTACACTTATAATGAGTTCATTATAAAATATAAAATAAAATAAAAGCAGAAAAAACTTAGCTTCAAGTAAAAGAAATTGATGGCTAGTATGAGTTCTCAAGTGTATTTTCCAATTTTTAGGAGGCCCCAATGAGTGAATGAATGTGTGTGTGTGTGTACACATATGTACACAAATATAATATTTCATGGGTAAAGATATTATCTAGTGAATTCTATAATACAGAGAACTTTTAGTATTGTGAACTTCAGAACTGATTAGGATTTTAGTGAAGGATAGTAAGGGAATTAATACAGGTGAATCAGGAAATTAATATCTTTCAATTGAAGTCCATGGTATGGTTTAATTAAAAAATAACTTGCCATCTCTCTCAGTGCATCATTGTGGGAATTGGTAAGGCATTTAAGCTCTCTGAACCTACGTTCTCATCTGGATTAAAATTTTTCATTCATTAATTTTGTCATAAAACATTAACACATGTTATCGACAGTTCATTCTCTTACGTGCTTGGAAAGATTCCGAGTTATTTTTTTTTTAAGTGAGGCAGTCGGGGTTAAGTGTCTTGCCCAAGGTCACACAGCTAGCACGTGTCAAGTGTTTGGCCTGAGGCTGGATTTGAACTCAGTCCTTCTGACTTCAGGGCTGGTGCTGTATCCACTGCGCCACCTAGCTGCCCCCGAGTTATTTTTTTGGTTTGTTTTAAACATTAATGGTTTCCAAAGTGTTTAAAAAGCCCCCATTAACAAAGTACATTCCCTTATGCCTAAAGTGTTATAAAACTGTGCATACCTTTGGTCTTGCAATATCACTGCTAGTTCTGTTATCTCAAAGAGATTTTTTTAAAAAGAGAAAAGAACATTTTTTAAAAAAATTTTATTTATTTTTTTTTTAGGCAATTGGGGTTAAGTGACTTGCCCAGGGTCACACAGCTAGTAAGTGTCAAGTGTTTGATCTGAGGCTGGATTTGAACTCAGGTCCTCCTGACTTCAGGGCTGGTGCTCTATCCACTGCGCCATCTAGCTGCCCCTAAAAGAACATTTATACAAAAATATTTATAGAAGCTCTTTTTGTGGTGGCCAAGAATTGGAAATCAAAGGAATGCTCATCATTTGGGGAATGACTGAACAAGTTGTGGTAGATGATTGTAATGTAATATTATTGTGCTATAAGAAATGACAAGCAGGATGATTTCAGAAAAAACTGGAAAGTCTTACATGAACTGATATAAAGTGAAGTGAACAGAACCAGGAAAACGTCGTATACAGTAACAGGCATATTGTACAAAAAAGGATTGTGAATGACTTAGCTATTCTCAGCAATACAGTGATCCAAGTCAATCCCAAAGGACTCATGGTGAAAAAGGTTATCTGTCTCCAGAGAAAGAACTGATACTTGAATACAGACTGAAGCATATAATTTTTCTCTCCCTTTGAGTCTTCTTGCTCAAAATGACTAATATGAACATGTTTTACATGATTGCACACGTGTAACCCATATCAGATTGCTTACTGTTCCCAGGAGAGGGGAGGGGAATGGAGAGAGGGATAGAATTTGGAAATCAAAACTTAAAAAAAAAAGCAACAAATTTTAAAAATTGTTTTTATGTATAATTGGGGGAAAATAGAATATTATTTTTTTAAAAAGTACATTCCCCTTATTAATAGGAAAGATGTCTTTTAACTTTGGCATTATGGTACTAATATAATCAGTTGCATTTGATCAGAGTTTATATGTACATTATTACAGTCATTATGTACGATAGTCTTTTTGCTGTGTTTTATCACTTTATATAAGATTTACCATATTTCTCTGAATTTTTTTATATTTGTCATTTCTTGTGGTACAGAAATCCATATCTAATTTGTTAAACTATTCCTGAGTGAATGGACACATTTTTCCACCAGATTTTTATGATCACAAATAATGTTTCTATGAAAATTTTTGTGCATATAGATCTTTTCTGGCTGTCTATAACCTCCTTGGGACATAACATAATTATAGAAATGGAATCTTTGGATCAAAGAACTATTTAGTGAATTTGCATTGCATAATGAAAAGTCTCTCCAACAATTAATTTTCCCCTCTTTTAGCCTCTTTACTAGCTTGATGACTAGAAGTCTCTCATGCACATTTTAAAATCATGATAGATTCCTTGACAAGTAACAACCACAAAGGAATTGCACCTTTGTGTGTTGCTTAGCACAGTGTCTGGCATACAGTAGATGTTTAGTAAGTGCTTATTGCCTTCCCTTGCTTATTCCTTGAGTAGAATCCTTAAAATGGAAACTCAGAAGACAAGAGAAACATACAAAAGTATATATATATTTGTGATCAATCATAAGGAACTATGTGAGGATGAATTGTTTACATGTTAATAGGGGAAAAATAATAAGTGTCCTCTCAAGCCATGCCTTTAAGGATCATAGAGAAAATTAAGCAGAGGGTGAAGGGTGGTTTTGTTCTATTTTGATGATTTTAAGAGAAGGAAAGGGAAGATTAAGGAACTATACCCCAGAGAAAAGGAAGAAGGGTAGGGAACTTATCTCACATAATAAGGGTATATGAAGTGAAGAGTATATGAGCATGGAGGAAGTATGAGAGGAATGCATGTTCTGTGAATCTCAACCTTTGTTTGAATTGGACCGAAGAAGTGGAACACATGTAGAAACACACACAGAGTAAACTAAATCAGCATGGTGCGGAGTGGGGCCTGTGGCCTCGAAGCCACATGTGGCCTTCTAAGTCCTCAAGTGAGGCCCTTTGAATCAGAACTTCACAGAACAGATTTGGATTCAAAGGGCCTCACTTGAGCACCTAGAGGGCCACATGTGACTTAAGGCTGCAGTTTCCCTACCCCTGCTGTCTAAACTATTAAACTCAACAGGGAAATAGGAGGGGATAGGGAGGGGTATAAAGGGTTTAAGTGGCATGGCAGGAGCATTGAAGGAATAGTCATAATCAAAACAAACTACAATTTTTAATTTAGATTTTTTGGAGCTTTTGGTATTCAATGGTTTGTAGCCAAAGTCCATTACTGAAAGCATATTGGTGTTAAAAGATGAGTTTTTGTTTCAGGGAGAAGCATAGAGTTTTTGAAACCACTGTACAATTCCTTAAATGTAGTATAGACCTTTCTTTTTCTCCCATTCCATTTGGGTCCCAGCTCATTCTTTGTCTAAGATAGAGATTTTGCTAATTCAATGGGGCTATCCATCTGATTGAATATCATAATCTAGCTCAGGGGTGGGGAACCTGCAGCCTCAAGGTCCCGTATTCCCCACCTCTATCTAGCTGGTAGTTATTCTTTATTTTTTTTTTTAACTTTTTATCTCCCAAGCTTAGCACAGTGCTTTATACATAAGAGGCATTTAATAACTTAAATGCTTGTTGACTCTTAAGACTTCATTTTTAACATTCTGTATAAGACTGGCAAGCACCTTTGATGAGCATGCATCTCCCTAAAATTCATTGCTTGTTATTAATTTTCAAAGACCTAATTCAGCAAAGTTAACTCTTGTGTCTTTCAGGGAATCTTGAATGCCCTTAAAATATGCATGGGAGATAACTTGTTGGAGAAAAGTGTTTAAAGGCTATATTTTCTTTACTGAATCAAACTTTTTATGGTCAATAAATAATGGGATCTTGTATTCTCTGCCCCTTTAGTCCATTGTATAACTTTAAAGATATGGTCAGCTGTAGAATATGCACATGTAGAAATTATCATTTAATATTGTGTTTGATCTCTCTAGTCAGTTGTCAAGCTTTTATTAAGCATTTACTCTGCGCCAGGCACTGGGCTGAGTTCTGATGATACAAAGAAAGGCAAAAACAGTCCTTCACCTCTAGAAGCTTAAGTTCTAAAGGGGGAGACAACATGCAAATAACTAAATACATAGAAGATAGAAGACAGATTGGGTAGAAGCAACTTTGAGAAGGGAAGGGCATTAGCTGAGGGGATTGAAGGCAATTGGGCCTGCATCCTGCATGAGATAGTCTTTAAGCTAGAAGGAGGTCAAGGAACAAGAGGCAGACATGATAGAGCAGAGCATTCAAAGAGTAGGGGACAGCCAGGGCAGAGTCTTAGAGATGGGTTGGAGTGTCATGTTCAAGGAAGGTCCATGTTGCTGGATTGTAGAGTGTAGAGAGGAATAAAGTTTAAGAAAACTGAAAAGGTAGGAAGGAGTCAGGTTACAAAAAAGGCAAAACAGGAGTTTTTATTTACTATTGAAGGTAATAGGGAGCCAGTGGAGCTCATTGAGTAAGGGAGCACATGGTTCAACCTAGACTTTAGAAAAATAACCTGACTGGAAGACAGATTGGAGTAGGGAGAGAATTGAGGAAGGGAATCAGTAAGAAGACTATTGCGGTAGTTGAGGCAAGAGTTAAGATAACAAGCTTGATCTAGGGTTGTGGCTATTTGAGTGGAGAAAATAGGATGTACAAAAGATGTTATGAAGGTAGAAATAATTAGCTTCTAAACTCTGAGTTTGGCAGGGACTTACCTTATGGAAATGTTATTGTCTTTGTACGTGGTAGGTGCTTAATAAATGTCTGTTGATTTGGTTTTTATTTCTATTTTGTTATACATTGTTATATAACAACATGAAGCCTCAAATGATACAGATTATTTTGGCATGTTGGCAGGTAGCTTAAAAAATATTTAGAGTTGGATTGAAATAGTCCCTGTATTGAACTGGTAAAAATGGTTTGTAACAAGCACTTTGCAAGGAAGAAAAAAACAACTATAGAAAATTCTTCGTATTTAAAATTGCAACATGCTTTTTTCCATTATAACATGGTATTTTTCTGGATATTGGGAACTCAAGGGAATTCTGTAGCAATTATTGTTATGGTAGAGGAAAGCTTGTTTGTTTTTCTAAAGCTTATATAGAATGTTTAGTTATTGCTATGTCAATCTCTAATTAAAAATTGAAGAAATGTAAACTCTTATTTAAATTTAAGCCAAGTCAGGGAAAAAGGAGGGAAGAAGGAAGGTTAATTTTGTTGATGTGGGGATAAAATTACAGTTTTTATGTGGTTATTTCACTTATCTTGTATTGCCCATGTTGTGATTTTCTTTTTTTCCTTATGTGATAGAGTTTTCCAGAGAAAGATCTTCTGCATTGTCCATCTAAAGATACAATTGAAGCCCATTTTATGTCTTGTATGAAAGAAGCTGATGCTTTAAAGCATAAAAGTCAAGTCATCAATGAAATGCAGAAAAAGGATCATAAACAACTCTGGATGGGATTACAAAATGGTAAATATAGCACTATTCTCTTTGAAACCCTTCAGAAATGATTTCACTTTTTTTCACATGATTAAATTTATTTTAATTCAGAAGATAAAACATAAATAAATACCCAAACCAGAAGCAAAAGCAAAGTATGTCCTGTCCCGTCCCGTCGTCTTCCCCCTCCCCCCGCCCCAAGACAATTAAGCAGAATAAGAACAGAAAAGAGCAGGACGTGCAACTATGTAGTTTTACAGTTTACCATTTGTTAAAAGAAAGGAAGTCTGTGGGCTTTAACAAGCTAGTTCATTGTTCATTTTATTTGACATGAATTTTGTTGCCATTCAGTGCTGTACGAATTTCATAGCTGTAGTCAGTGTTATTTTGTATCTGTTTTCTTTACTCCACATCAGTGGCTCACACTCTCATAGAAATACAAACCACACTTAGAAATCCCTGTGGATCACGTAGTGACTTAGAAAATCGTTCATTGATCTATCTTTGTTCTATTGTATTTTTATTTATTTTGTTAAGTATTTTTTAATTACATTTTAATCTGGTTTGGGCAGGCCTCAAAATATTTGACACTTCTTTTCTGTATCATTTCTTATGACTCTTTTCATGTTTATTTGAATTATTTGTATTTGTTCTAATGGTGCAATGGTTTATGTACCATCATTTATTCAGATGTTCTTTGGTCCTCAGGTACAAGTTTTGCATCCAACACTTTGCCGTTATAGAGGGGATTTCTGTGTGTGTTTTTGTAAAGGAAAGGCTTTCTCACTGTCATTCTCCTTGGGTATAAGCCTAATAATGTGATTGCTAGGTCAGAGGGCTTGAAATTTTTATAACTTAACTTGTAAGATTCCATGTTGTTTTCCAAAATAATTCTGTCATTTCACGACTTCAATAGAAGTGACTAATGTGTCCCCTTCCCCACTAAGGCCAGTAAGCATTCCCCCCGTCCCCCATCTTTTTTTTTACCTCCTTGCCAATTTGATAAATATTTCTCTGGTTGTAGCATTTTTTCCCCATCCACGTTTATGAAAGACATAATTTTGTATTCTTCTCTCCTTTCATCATGTGTCTTGTTATAGTTAGATTATTCATCAATTTGGAACTTACTCTGGTATATGATATAAGATACTTGTATAAACTCATTTTCTGCCAAACTGAAATCTAGTATTCCCTGCAGATTTTGGTGAATAATGAGTTCCTTCCCTAGTAATTTGTGTTCTTAGGTTTATCAGATACTATAGTGTTGTATCCATTTGCTTCAAACTCTTACTTATATTTTCTACTCATCTACTTTGCTTTTTTAAAAAAAAATTATTACTAGATATAATTTGAGATCTGGTAATATTATTACCCCTTCTTTCTTACCTTTTTTTAAAAAAAAAATTATTTCCCTTGATGTTTTTGTTCTTTATTAATTTTGTTGTTACTTTGTTTCATCAGATTGGTATGTGAAATATAGAAATAAATTTGGATTATTTTTTCATTGAATCAGCCTAGCTTAGGCATGAACATTAAATATTGCTTCAATTCTAGATCTCCATGTGTTTTTCAGATCTCTCCTTCTTATTGCTACCCTCTCCCAATAGAGCAGCACCAAACAAAACCCTCACAAGTATACATAAGCCCATTATAAAAACAGCTTCCCATATTGACCATGTCTGTATGTGTGTTTCTCATTCTGAGTTTTAAGTCCATCACTGCTCTGGCAGGAAGTAGGTGGTGTGCTTCACTTTTATTTTTCTGGATTCATAATTTATCGTTGCATTGATCAGAATTCTAAAGTGTTTTGAAGTTGTTTTTCTCTATAATGTCATTGTGGAAATTCTCTTAGTTTTGCTCATCTGACTCTGTTTCAGATCATAGATGTCTTTGCAGTTTCCTCTGAGATTGTCTATTTTGTCCTTTCTTATGGCACAGTGATATCCCATTATATTCATATATCATAATTTACTTAGCTGTTCCCCAGTAAGTGGGCACCTCCTTAGTTTCCAGTGTTTGGCTGCTATGAAAAAAGCTGCCATAATTACATGATGTGCCAGGTCTGTCTGTTCAATTTTAAGCTCTAATGCCTAATAAGCTATTTATCGTTTTCCTTTTTTCATACTTGCCAATCTGATCTCACTTTATATTTATAAAAATTGTTTTCTAGTTGTATTTATGTAAATCTAATGTATATCTTGCTAGGTTAACTTCAGATATTTAATGCATTTGTCATTTGAAATGGCAATTCTATTTCTATTGAGTTCTTCTAGTTTTTACTGGTACTGTATAGAAATGTTTAATGACTAATAAAGTGTGAACAATAATTAATTGAAAAGAAATATGTTGTTCATTTGTTGAATATTAAGAGAACGGTGCTTTTCAGTTTTTTCCTCCATAAATACTACCTGCAGTGTTGACAACTAATACAAATCAGAGATTAGAACATTTTGGCAAAAAATATACATGTATATATGTGTGTACATGTATGTATGTATGTATGTAAAAGTCTTCAGTGGCCTCCCATTGCTTACTGAATTGTTGGTGTTTGTTCATTGTGCTTGAAGAAGGCCAAAATGACATCTTATTGAGGTCAGTTTACACTATGTCCAGCTGTGGCTGATGAGACCAATACAAGCTCAGTAGTCTGTATGAACATTTGGGATGGAGATGCCTCTAAATTTGTGTTTCTTTTGAGCGATTGCAGTTCTGTTTTGCTTATAGAGCACAGAGCCTTCTTTGATGAGGGCATGCCATGCTAGACAGTCCTGTGCCAGCTTCTCCTATATCTCATAATTGAAACCAAAGTTTTTTAGCGAGACCTTGATAAAGCATAAGCAGCTGACTGATACAATATGTAGTTATATGGCATTCAATGCTCAGCCAAACCACTACTCTTGTCTACCATCTATCTCCTTCTGCTTTCTCTAGTCTTTGTGCCTTTTTTTTATGCTTCCCTCACACCTCCATGCCCAATGCTACTTCTTCTATGGAGCCTTACCTGATCTTCTACTGCTACTTTCACAAGAAAGTGTTCTCCATCAAATTTCTTATTTTGTCTACCTCTCTCCTTTGCCCTTATTTTACTTATGTGGTCTTCTTGTCTAAATTATAAGTTTCCTTAGGTCAGGGACTAAGTAAAATACTTTTATATCCATCATGACACTAGGCATATAGCCTTTTGCCTATCTCTGGTGTTAAAGGAAGATTTTAGGATACTTGTGAATGAAGAAAAATTTCTTGAGAATAATATTAGATAGCTTAGATAAAAACATGGAACTTGGAATAGGAGAAGGGAAAAATGAAAACTAACTCATTTGGCTGTGGGGTAGAATTATTGGGAGAACCATTATAAATATGTAGACTAGTAAATAAAAAGTGTTGAAATTGAGTTTGGATATCATAGATCTGACATAAAGGGCAAGAACATCTAAAAGAGTGTTTTGAAGAGGAATAGTTAAAATTAGGAAAGACGTTTTGGATTAACTTTCAGTAGGTAGAGGTTGTACAATTTCTGTATAGAGAATATTGACAGTATTGTAGCTGTGAGACAGCCTGAGCCAAGACCTCAGATTTTGTTACCACTATTAAGAGATAAAGATAGCAGGAAACAGCATGCAAACAACTATGTACAAACAAGTTACATGCAGGATAAAGTAGAGATAATGTAGTAGAGAGACCTAACATTAAGGGGGACTAAGAAAAGCTTCTTCTAGAAGGAGAGACTTCAATGAGCCTTGAAGGAAACCAAGGAATTCTTTATTTGGATTTATATTTGCAAATCGGCTTTTGGTTATTAAGAAAGTTTTTGCTTAAAAAGAAAAAAAACAGTAATTTACATTACATGAAAAAGTCAAAGGTTATCTCTAACTTTTGCTTAGCTATAGTTGAAAATTTGTCATAATTGTGACACAGCAGATGGTACAGTTCTTTTGTTAAGAAAGGCACCTGTCTGTAGAACATAACAACTAAATGAAAAGTTTAAACATTTTTGAATACTTTCAAATGCTAATTTTAATTTCCCAGACCTCTTGTGAAAGAGAAATAAGTAAAGCTTATGAAACTAAGAAAACTCTTTTAAGACATCCTGAGCCTTTCAGTGTGTTTTTATAGGTTTTCATTTTAGATCTAACGATTTTTAACCTCCCTGTGAAACATAGTTGATGACCACAAAAAAGAAAAGAAAGTACCATTTGTATTAGCAACAAGACAGTTATCACTACATCTGCAGGTTGGTTTTTCTATGAAACTTCAAGCAATTTTCTTAAAATCCTTCTTACTTTTTCAGAAGCTATATCTTTAAATTTTATTAGAGAATTTCTTTCAAATTCCATTAGCCAAATGTAAAACTCATGCATTTTTATCTTGCTTCTATACGTGCAAAATTTCAGATTCAAACAAAAGATGATAGGGAATTAAAGCAGGTTTTTTAATTAAGCCAAGATTTAATTGAGCTACAGAATCAAAAGGACATATAACCTTTCAGTTGTCACTGAAGGTTTTTGGATAATTTTGATTTTTTTTTCCTAATGGGCAAATCAATCCGTAGTAGTTTGGCAGTTTGCCATTTTCATTCAAAATAAGAGATAATTTCTAGAATATGTGATTAACCAGAAATGATTCAGAAATTATATTTGTTTGCTATTTGTTAAGAAACTTGTTTTTACAGTTGTGGAAGATATAAATATTATGGCTCCTGTTTTCATGAGACTTCACATTTTGAAGAGATGGGAGTAGATACTTAAATTGCTAGGTTATGTTTGAGATGACTGTAGGTAAAGTGCTGGGAATAGATGTAAAGTTCATTGGTCTAAATTTTAAGTATCCCCATTTTTCTTTTTGAAAAATCAGGATTCAGTATAGTGCAGGTAACATTTATTAAGCACCTACTTTTGGAAGGTCCTGTACTACACAGGCCCCAGAGATCAGAAAACAAATAGTTCTTGTGCTTAAGCATTTTCATTCTTTTGGAGGGTTTTTGCAGGTGCAAAGATAAATAAATATAAAGTAAATACCAAGCCAGGCCTTTA